TGCATTTTAATTTTTGATAATGTTAGATTAAAATGCAATAAAAATTAAAATTTTAATAAAAATTTCTCAGAGCCCCAGAAACTTATCTTAATACTATAACAGGCCTAATAATAACTAACCGTCAAATGATTCGGCTACCATAAGACCTTCAATCGAATTCAATGATGATGAATAATTCCTTTATCTATTTAACAACAATATTTTTTTGCAAATTATTTTTTTTTAAAGACATTGGAGCGTGCAAAAAGTTATTTATATTCAACATTTAAATGACTATTCTTTATGGCGGTCGGACTCGAATTCAAGATTTAATTTATCAATTACGAATGAACTAGAGTTGCAGATAATGCATCACAATGTACTTGTAATTCAGATCATTTTCCTATTAAGGTTTTTTCATTATTATAAGAAGTGCTGTGTGTTATATAAATATATACGCAAGGGATTTTTTATTAGATTGGGAACTTTATTTAGGGATTGGAATCGATTTTAAAAAAAAGTAGTTTGTATTTAGAATTGATTCCAAGATTTGATTTTTAATCGATTTTATTTATGACGTAACGATTTTTTTAATCATAAATTGAATGCAGTTAATAACAAATTTGTTATTTACATAAAATAAATTTATTTTCAAGAAAAGCTATTATAATTTATGAAAAAAAAATTACCCACTTAAAAAGCAGGAAATTCTAATATATTAAGACGATGATGTGTTATTAAATCATTTATATATTTTATCAGAGTTCCTGAATTATTTTTTATTTACTACTTTTTAGGTTCGAATATTTCGTAAGTTTAAGAAGAATTTTTTTTTGTATTTTTTGTTTTCTTGGTTTTTTTTTTAAAATTTTTTTACTTTCGAGCAGCTGATTTTTTTTTAAAAATATTATTTTAAATATATTATTTAGTTTGCGACATATGTTTTGAATTAATTTTTTGATTTTTGCGATCAAATTTATTTTTTTACTTTTATGTAGAATTTATTTTTAATATGTTTATTTTATAATTAATAAGTTAGGTTTTCTTTGATTTTTAAATTATTTACTTTTCTTTAAAAGAAATGGATTACTCCTACACTAACACTTACTAGATTTATTTGATTTTCATTATATTCAATTATTAATTTTGAATTTATACAATACTGTTAGATAAATTCAAAAATGCACCAACTATATTTGAAATAAGTCATGTAAATTTCATTGAATTTTCAAAAATCAGGTGAGTCAAAAATTTAAGTTTATGCTAAAATTGAAAAGCCCAAATATTGAGGAATTAATTGGTAATAAATTTGAAAAGACGGATGCTCGGCAAATTTTTAAAGGAAAGGCAAGATTGAAAGACCAGATAAGTATTAGACATTAATTAAAAAAGCCGCAATATACTTATCTACTTGTATTATATATTTTTCAAATATTTTATTAAAAGTTAAAGGTCGAAGATTGCTCCATTATCTTTTATAATTATTGAAGATTAAATATTTCAATGAATATATTATTAACAAGATATTTTGCTTGCAATAAAATTTTTGCTTTAAAGTTTTTTACTTAGAAGGCGATGACATACGGTCCTAAAACGATCTGATTATATAATGTTATTAATGATTCAACTGAATTTTTACAAGGTTATCTTGTTAAACATAAAAGTTTGTATGGTAAGATTCAGTTGAATCGTTGAAATAGTTTTGTTATAATAGAAAATCGTGAATTTAGAGCTTTTAGAAAAAAGTTTTCAAAGATTTATAACTTTGATTAGGTTTTTTTTTGATAAGTTTCAACAAAGTTGAATTTAATGAAGAAATATTGCACAAGAATTTAAAGATAATATTTTATTTTAAGAATCAAAAACATATTGTTTCGAAAAAGCAAATATCTCACTAAGATAATTATTGGCTGACGAGTTTAAACCTAATCATGACCCGATTTTTGCGAATTAAATAAAAAGTGGTTTTTTTTGATCGTCATTTTTAACCGAATCGTAATTATACGATATTAAATGTAAAAAACGTAATGATTTTAAAGAAACTAATATAAATTCTCAGGATCTTTACCAATAAAGAATAAAGTCAAATAAGCCATTCAAATTTCTTTAATTTGATCACTTTTTAGGATTGGTTAATGAATTTTGTGATCAAAAATCCGAAGTTCGGAAATGTTCAGTATTTTTAAAATATTTCAGGCATACAATACAATAACCTTAACAAATAATAAAGGTTACGAAATGATATCATCAACTTGCTTGATATGGAGTAGTTTAGGATCATTCGTACCTAGATAACTTAAATTTCACTATCATGAATAAATGGATTACCAAACTATAATTTGATATTATTTTAGAGGAGATTATTATATCATACTATATGAATCACAAATCAACGCTTTGCTATATATTCCATTCCTTGAGCTATGTATTGGAAGAAATGTGTGTGACAATATTCGAGATTTGTTCTGTACTTATTAAAAGAGAGTTTACGATTGATGATTATGAAGCTTATGAAGTATTTCATGTCACCAAGAATTTTACGAATTTGTTAATGATCGATTCAACTTTCTCTGGAAAATGATGAATATATATTCTATTTAACTTTCCCAAAAATATTCATTATCCCTACATAAAATTGTTGGAAATCAATAAAAATGAGAATTCCTCTCAAATTTTCGGGTAAACGCTAAATAACAATGGTCTTAGTATAGCATCATCTTTTCTCCGATAATAAGGCAAAGTCATTAGGTCCTTGAAAGTACATTTTAGCATGTGATTCTTAATAATAATATAAAAAAAATCTAACGAAATCATCCGGAAGACGTTTATACATTACGAACTTTACCAAATTGATAAACGTGTTTTTGGATAACCAACCAAACAATTTAGCATATACTCATCGGGAACTTAATTTGCGCTTAGCATTCAACTTCTTATGATCATCATATATGTTTTCAATTCTTAATTACTTTTTATTTTACTAAACCGAAAATTAGAACAATACTCGAAAATCGCGATTAATTGATTTCATCTTTTTGAATCAATTCTATTCCATATATCGTATTGTAAGTAAGTTTAGGTTTGCTCGCTTTGGAAAGGCATAGGATAGAATTTTTATTTTATTTATCGACTTTTTCTGCATTTTTTCTTGATCATTCCGCTAATATTGTACTATATATAATTTTATTTATTCGTATTTTTCGGTTTTGGTAGAATCGATTCCTAACCTTAGTACGATAGGTTTAGAAAGCTCTTTTTCAAAATATAATGTCAGCTTACAAAATAGCCTTCCGAATAATATTCCAATTGGTTTAAAGCGATCATTTCTACAACTACTGTGCCTTCCACAGTATTAGTCACGTTGAACAAAATCATGTGATATTTACTTTGCCATACTTAGAACAAAGGTTGTACAGAGCGATCATATTCTATTTTGGAATAAAAAACGGAGTATTAATCCGTTAAACATTTCTTTTTTAAATAAATTTTATTTCATTGCATTATGTCCTCCATTCGTAGGGAATTAGTTATCGATGCATGCGATAGAGCATTTGCATTAACCGATTCTAACACAGACATTGACAAACGTCATGAATTTAGGCAACAAACAATTTACGCTGACGAATCTCTCACTAAAACGGAAAAATTAGAGGCAATAAGATTATTAATTCAGAGTTATGAATATGAGAAAATTACCTTAAATTTAGGAATGAAAAGAGTTTGTGAAAATTGCAAACAAGAATGTTTTGCAATAACATATTGCGAACATTGCATTCGAAATTATTTAAAATTAAAATTTTCAGAATGGACATCTGGAAATAAGGAAATTGATAATTTAATAAAGAAATGTCAGATGGTAGCAATTCAACCTTATAGAATAATTGAATGGATCCCATTCGATAAATTGCAAAATATCAAATATTTAACTAAAGGTGGATGTTCAGAAATATATACGGCAGATTGGATTGATGGAAGTTATAACAGATGGGATTTTATCAAAAAACAATTAATAAGATCTGGAAGACAAGAAATCATACTTAAAAGATTAGAAAATGTCGAAAGAGCTAATAGAAGTTGGTTTGAAGAGGTATGTAATTTTAAGAGTTATTAAATGTTGTTTTTTATAAAAATAAAAAGGAAACTAATCAAACGAATTCTCATTTATAGGCCGAATCTCAATTAATATTAAGCAGCAAGTGGGGAAATTTCGCTGATTCTTATGGTCTTACTCAAAATCCACAAAATAAAGATTATTTTCTTGTAATGTTCTTATTCAAAATAGATTTAAGAAAATATTTACAGCAAAATTATAACCAACTTACATGGAAACAAAGAATCAACATCATTGAAAACATAATCGAAGCAGTTTCACGCCTTCATCATGAAAATTCTATTCATAGAGATTTGCATTCAGGAAATATATTATATTCTGAATATAATGGTACATGGTATATTAGTGATTTTGGATTTTGTGGACCTGCTGATAAACCATTAGAAAGTATATATGGAAATCTTCCTTATATAGCGCCTGAAGTTATTAATGGAAAAGGATATACTTTTGCATCAGATATTTATAGTATTGGTATGCTCATGTGGGAAATTTCATCTGGACGACCACCTTTTGCTCATTTTGATCATGATTATGATCTTGCAATAAATCTAATTAAAGGAATGAGACCACAAATCGTACAAGAAACTCCAACAGAATATAAAAATTTAATGGTTCAGTGTTGGGATGCTGATCCATTAAAGAGATACGATATTGATACCCTATATGATAAAATTACAAAAATACTAAAATCATATTATCAAAATGAAAATGAAGAACAAAACATTAATTTTGACAGTACACAATCAAATGCAAAACCGGAACCTAATATAAATTTAAACTCTAATGGTTCATTAGTCAGAACGTTTAGCAAACTTTATACCTTTAAGGATTTATCTGAACCAAGAAATGCCACTGAAGGTTAACTATTATATTTATTTATTATATTTATTATTAAATGAAATTAAAGTTTTTTATCTCTTTTTTAACTTACAGAAGAGCAAGAAGGTTGTTATTTTTTATTTGTTAAAATATTAAATATTAAATTTAATATTAATTTGATATTTCCTTTTTTATAAAAAAAAGCTTACGATATGCATTACAGTCTTAATATTTCAAATAGTAAGTTATACTTAACTTATCATAAGAAATTTATTAATGAATTTGACAGACTACCATAAAAATTAAAAAAAATATCTAAAGATTATACTGAAAAGAACGTGTCTACATCACATCAATAATAGTTCAGAATATATTTTTTAATATTTTGTTTTAAAATTACGTTATTTGACTTAATAATTTAATAATTTAAGTATTTATATAATTAATATTTACAGATATGAATATTGGCAAATCTAAGAGCAATTCTTATAACTTATCAATGGTAATGAGTCATTTCGTTATTTTTAAGCTTTTTAAATAATGACGATTAAACTTGTCATTATATTTTTTTTTCTTTAATTAGAAAATCAAGAAGATTTTAAAAATTAAATCAAACAATGATAAAACTCATTAATGACAACGGTAAATGATAATTTGTAAAGTTTTATTTTATTCTTAATATTTCTAAAACTGTAAATTGTTTATTTTAGGAATTAATCATGTAAATTGGAGCGTGAGATGTAAGAAATTGATAAATCTAATTATATATTACTAAAATTATAATTTAATCAATATAATCTCATTAAATAGTGATGAGACCAAGATAATTTAGCAATTGCTAAAGATAAAATTAATTAATGATCAATTTAAGTATAAAACAAGGTAATTATTACAATGTTGAAATTACTGAATTATTAGAAGTTTTGAATCGATTATTCAAATAGTTCATATTTTATATTTACATATTTAACATAAGGTTATAGAGTAGTAATTATTATATTTGCAATAAACCTTAAAATTAATAAATAAATATAACAAATTAATTACAGTATAGATAATAATTTAATATTTTATAAAATAATACATCTTATTAACTAAGTAAACAAGAATTGTATTTATTAGTATGAAGATGAATGACATTATTAAGCGGAACATTTGCCATCAAACTGCCTTCTTTTCCGGATTCTTTAATAACCATTTTATGAAAATTATTAGTTTGAGTTATCACAACATTAATAATCGTACCGGTTTGCCTTTGTATATCGACAATTATTTTTTGTTTTCGAGGCTGATGTTTCGAATCCAATCGCAACTAACGCCCAAATAAATAATATAAAATTAAACTTATCCAACAAGCAAGGTTAGCTAAGCTAAAAAATCGTTTGTTTTCTAAGCCTTCTTGTATTGATACATAACATTTTTATTTGCTCCATATTAGCTATATTTCTATTTCGTTTTACTGATAATGCTTTGTATCCGCTAAAAAGGTGAATTATATAATCAATTATTCAAGTGATCATTTCTTAGTACGATAATGCAGAACGTTTTATAATTCAATGATACCTATATTCAAAAATACTACTCAGAACTGTTCTAACTCGAATTTAACATGATAATATAGAAAATAAGCATGCAACAGGATAGCAAATGCTAACTAATGTGATCATGAGTTGTAATCACTAGAAACTTTGTTTATAAAAATATAAATGATAGTAGATGACTACGTTTTAAAGTGATCAAACTGAAAATAATAATAAAAGAAAACTACCTGAAAGAAATTAACTATAAAAAGAAAAAAAAAATTTTCAATCCAAAAAGATCATTAAAAAAAAGAGACGGAAAAAATAAATGAAATATTTAAAAAAACTTCAACCTGAATCGAAAACAAACGACAATAAAAGGCATCAAATTTTTTTGAAAAGAATAATAATCGTTAGATCAAAAGTAACAGAACTCAAATCTTAAAAAAAAATTGGAAGTTCAATGAATTGAAACGGCTTGGAATTTTATGCTGATCACTTATTGCGCCAATTAACTTTCGTAATCAATGGTCGTGTCGTGATGTAATAATGGAAAATTTAGACTATTACGGTATAAATTGGACTCCTAGACCATTCACCTTCCAAATTCTCTCTTTCCTGCAAATTTACAAATTTGCAATTTCCCATTTACAAATATTCTTACCACCCACCCTCCCCTGCTAGTGTATGTGGTGTTCGTGATTTGATGTTATACACGCATCAAAAATATTAATATAATTTTGGTCATAATGCTTGACCAACCTTTCTGTTCACAGCCTTCATGCTGTGTACGGCTCCTAATATTGTTCCGATATAGTAATCAAAAATAAAGAAACATATTATAAAATTAAAATAATTTAAAATAATACACCTTTATTCACAGAAATCATCCGATCCAAATAGGAATCTTAGAAAAGAGAGAGAAGAGAAACAAAATTTTTAATAAACCATGAAATTGTTAAAGCTATAGCCTGGTTTCTTATTTCGAGACTAAAAGAAAGAACAATTAGTAGTACCAGCCGGTGCAAATTTTGGAGTCGGTTTAGTCATCTGTTAGACAATTTTCAGTCGACTCAGCCGTCGTCTGAATCGTGACTCTCATTTGAAATAAGAGACCATAATTGTACTTAATATTTAACGAAAATATTTATAATTTAGATAATTATAAGTTTAATCATAAATAAAGTTATCAGAATCCCTTTCAACTAAAATTTATGACTTTTATTTAATTAAAACTTTCACGATATGCTGACATGATATCTAATTTGGAACAGCGGCTTAGTCATTTGAAAATTCCGGAGTCGACTCTACGTCGACTCTGACTCTAACGGTTGCTACTACTAAGAACAATCTAACCTGATTTAGATATGAAGGATAAAATTAAGCAAATGGTACAAGCTTTTCAGTATTCCTTTGTGTTAATAAGGAAAAATGGAAAAATGGTTCGATTATAGAAAAACTGCAATTAAATTTTTCTGTAAACATGCCAATTATAGATTTTATTTATAGAAAATAATAAATCGAATTCAACAGAATTTATTTTGTCAATAAAGTTTATTTATTATTCAAAGATCAAGCTGAAACCGGTAAAATTAGCAATTATAATTAAATAATTTATTTTGCTGAAGTAGAGTATGTCATTTTTTTTATAAAAAATAAATTTAATGTAAACGGTTTACATGAATTATCTTTAGGCCTTGAGAAAATGTGTAATCGAGAAGACACTTTATATATGATAAAGATAAAGAAATTTTGCAACGTCTATGGAAGATTGGAAATTTGTGTTATTCTTTGATTTTTCATTGGTGTTGAACGATTTGTATCACATGATCAAATGCAATTGCACTTTTTTTAGCATTCCACAATAGAGAATTTTTATTTACCACCTACCTCCAATTTGTTTTATTAATAATTATAATTATACCTTCACACATATATATTTTTATTTATTTTGCTCATGTAATAATATTACGACGTATCAAAAATATAAGCGCTTGACCAACAATTAGTTCATATGCCGTCAGGGCATGTCCCGCTCCTAAAAATTTTCTCTTATACAATGCAGAATTATCGCACGATGCTTTTTATGCTAGTAGTTAAGTTTCAAAATTTTCATTGATGAATCATATGAATAAATTAAAATCAAAAATGTTTAATATTGAATTCTTAGTACCTAGCGATGACTTCAAAAATTGCTTTCGAAATAATGTATAGAGAGGTAATGGTTTAATTTTTATTGCATCAATAATTATATTATCTTATCACAATTTTTCAATAGCAAATTGATGTTAAAGAAAAAGAATAAGAAATTAAGAAGGGGAACAAAAAAAAGGAAGGCTAAGAAGGATTTTGTGCTTTCAACACTTTTTCCATAAACTAATAAATATTGCAATGGCAAGCGATCTTACTTTAAAGGTTTTTCGATTTATTAAGAAGACAAGCATTTAAAGTACTTTGAACCAATGATGCACGTGCCTGAAAGATGGTTTTTCTTTTTTTCATTTTTGACGAAACATAAGATTCTGTCTCTTAAATGACATCCGGTCCGGATTATTTGATTAAGAGAAACCGATACGGTGATGATATAATTCTGTTTGTATTTTTTATTGTCTCAGATTTCTTTATTTTCGGTCCTAAATCCTTTTATCGTTTAACAATATTTGTGATATTAACCAAGACAATAAAATTAATAGTTGTACTCAAACCTCGAGACTTTCATCCATCCAATTGTCTCAGTAAGTTTTTTTAAGACATCATGTAATTAGTTTTATGTAATACCTTTCATATTCTTACAATAATCCGGTGCTGGTTCCATTAAATTACCATATATTTCGAAGGAACTTTTATAAGGGATTGTTTAAGACAAAAAAGGATCAAATCGATAACTTTCTTTTAAAAAAAATATGAAAAGATCATTTGTTAATGAGAACGTTGAAATCTTCTTTTGATGTTGATCTAAAAGCATATTCAATTGAATAAAATAAGTTAAGAGTTAAATATATATATATTGCGGTTTACGGAATGCTGATATAAAGATGTTTCGGGAAAGTTGCGATAAAAACACTCAAGCGTGAATTTACATGACGAGTAATTCATAAATCGTCCTAATTTTTTATTATTCACTTTAAAAATTGATATTGTAGAAGTACTCACATAAAATAAAATTTTATTAAATTTAAACCTATTTCATGCGTAACAGGATCAGAAGATTAATTGTCTAATATACAGTGAAGTGATTAAAGATAGTGTTACCTTTAGCCGGAGCATTAGAGTACTGGCTCGTAAAAAATGATAGAATACATTCGGATTGGAAATGAGTATTGAGAACGCTGGCTGAGTACAGACATGAGAATATTTTGTTTGTACTATTATTCGATGTTTATAGGATTTTCTAAAATATGTATTGTAATATTTATTTTTATTGAAAATTCACCTCTTTGCAATAAGAAATAATTGAAGCTATATAATAAATAAAATCAATCAACTTTATTTTAGAAGCAAATGGTTTTTTTTATCATAATTTGAACGCGAACTTATTGCTAAATAATATCTACTTTACGAGTTGTTTCTATAATAAATGCTTGTATAAATCTTTGGCAGGTTGATATAGTAAGCTATACTTTAAACATTTATAACAAATACACAAATTGAATAGATTTGTTAAATCACAAAAATAATTTTTTAATTACCGAAAAGAAAGGTCCTAAATAATGATTCTTTTTACTTATGTTAAATAAAATAAAAATACAAAATAAAATAATCAAAAACAAAATTTAGACCACATTTTCATTTACTATTTGATATTCTTTAACATTTAAAAATTTATAGACCGTTATAAAAAATTATTTATATTTGAACCAAAAATAAAGTAATCAAATATGCCGATCATTCATTTCGGAATTTTTTATGGGATCCGTGGATAATATATTGGTCTCGATAAATAGTAAAATTGAAATTTTTGAATCTTTTTTTTTGATTATAATTTAATAATTATGTACAACAAATTAATTAAGATCTTTTCCAGTCTCACTTTTTTAAAATAAAAGAATGAATATTAATTAAAAAATTAGATCGTATGAATTTGCAGGATTTATCGAAATTATTATTTTATTGAAAACAATTAAAAAATTTTTAATTACAGTTTACTAAAAATTGGATGAGAAAATGGAAAGCAAATATTTGCTGCGCCAACGATCTAATACAGACAATGCGAATTCACTTTGTAATTAGATTAAGTTTAAAGATAATTTTTTTTTAAAAAGCAAAATAGACCAGGTTAAAAATTTCTCAAGATTTTATTTTAAAAATTAATAATAATAATAATAATAATAAAATTACGCTTTAAAATTCGTTTAAGAAAGACTAGATAATATAGAAAATAAACTACTCACAATTAGTGATAAAATAGTATTTATCAAAACACATACCGTGTTAAATTTCTAGATCTTTTTTTTTTAAATAAAAATAAAAAAATATGGTAATTGAACAACAAACCATAACATACATGATTAACATGTTTAGTGCTCCGTAAGGGTCGGGTCGGGTATGGATCTTTATATAAAAGGAAATTCAAAAGGAATCATGACTAAAATTGAAGAATTATATTTCCATGAATTTAATATGAAATTCTGAAAAAGACCAGGTAATTAATTTCAAATTGATATTTATAATATTTATTATATTTTAACAGTTTTTTAATTTTTTTTTTTATAGCTAGTTAATATAATCAAGAAAGGATTGAAAATTTAAGAAAATAAAGAAAAATTGAAATCGAAGGTATAATATTCCCCTTAAATATATATATATAATTTTTATTTTGTTTTTATTAAAATTTCAAATATTTTT